TGTGTGTGTGTGTGTGTGTGTGTGTGTGTTGTTTTTTATTTTTAAATCACAACAAAAGGAAACCTTGAACCCATTGGGCAGCCACTCCCCATCACCCCCTTCCCTCCAGGTCCTGGCCACCCCTCACCTCTTTCCTGTCTGTGTGGATTCGCCTACTCTGGACTTTGCCTAGAGACGGAATCCTCCCCTCTGTAGCCCTCTGTGGCTGACTTCTTTCACTCTTTTGGGGTTCATTCGTGTTGTAGCCAGACAGTGCTTCACCCCTTTTATCTCTGAGTAATATTCCACTCTGTGTGGGTGGATACACCCCATGTTATCAGCTGTTGACGCGCATCTGGGGCGTGTCCACCTTCGGCCATTGCGAATAGTGCGGCTGTGAACACCGATGTACAGGTGTTTGGTGACCTCGTTTCAATTTTTCTGGGTCTCTGCCTGGAAGCGCAATTGCTGGGTCACCTCGTTTTCCACTCAGATTTCGGGCGCACAGGATCGATCGTCGGTGCAAGCCGTCTGCCACCTGGAGGTTTCCAGGACCTTGAGTCCCCTCTAGGTGGGGTAGGATCGGCTTGGAACCCCCCCTACCCCTTCCTCCCCTGGGAGCAGTGCCCGGGCAGGGCTTGGGGCTGTTTTCGCCTCTCCGTCTGGCCCTCTCCCCTTCCTGGCCCAAAACGGATGATCGTGGTTTTCTCAATCGTCTGTGATTTGTGCAACTTCCACGCCCAATTTCGGGGTCCACTCTCCCGAGTCCCGGGTGCTTGTGAAATCCACAGTCTGTGCAGGACCGGTTGTCAGTATCCATGGCGACAGCAGGGGGCGCATAGTCTTTGACTCGCAATTTCACCTCCAGGAGCGTGTCCTACACTCGTGGGTCAATACGAGCTGGGTGACAGTGAGCAAGGCCACTCATTACGACACTGTAATGGGAAAAGGGCGGAAACACTACAAACATCTGTCCAGTGGGGGCTTGGTTGAAAGAGTCCTGGATGTCCCCCTGGGGAGTACTTGCTATGTGGCTGTAAAAAGACTAAAGGCACTTGCTGGGGGCGCCTGGGCGGCTCAGTTGGTTAAGGGTCTGACTTAACCACTCTCGTGGTTCGGTGAGTTCGAGTCCCAGGTCAGGATCTGTGCTGACAGCTCAGAGCCTGGAGCCTGCTTCCGATTCTGTGTCTCCCTCTCTCTCTGCTCCTCCCCCACTCGCGTTCTGTCTCTCAAAAATAAACATTAAAAAAAAAAAAA